TTGCGAGAGCAGGACTTATGGGGAACGCCCTGCTTCGTTTGCGAGAGCAGGACTTATTGGGAACACCCTGTTTGTGAGCATGTAGTCCTCTACAGCATCCAACTTGCAGCTCTTTCTAAGATTTTAGGACCTCTGTTATTGGGAATGTTTTTTGGTCTATGCTCTTGGGTTTATTTGGCAAAGTTTTAAAATGCTGAATTTTTTCAGTATACTGAACTCAGATCATCAACGTATTTGTCAGCATGTTGGGTCTTACGTATGTCATCACCCTGATATGTCTGCAATTCTTTTAAAAGGTAGAGTACTCATGGTGGTTTCCACACCAGATCGCTGCTTTAGACCATCATAGATTTTCTTTTGGCATAACGGCATTTAGTGGTGATGCTTGGTACATTTAATTCTTCAGAATAGATATTGCAATGCTCCAGTGCCTAGGAACATTTGGTGTACTCATTATTTAACAGCATCCTATTCTCCCTTCAACTATTTAATAATGCATATGTAATTTGGTGTAGTCCCTGTAGGATTTGGAGAAGTAAGAACACCTCATTTTATAGATATTCTTGTATGGGTGGGTAACTTGCCTGCTTGTTAAGCTCCATAGGGGAGATAACTCTATGGATATGCCATTTATTGAAGCTGTTTTTGCATTCTGCCTGGGATCTGTCTCTTGGGTTTTGACCTTACTGGTGTTTAAGTTCTCTGGTAGAGTTATTCAGTCCTCCGGTGTGTTGAAATTTTCAACTCTTTGGCAGGTATGTTTTATTAGTGCCTTTGGGCATTTGGATTGATGTGGCCACAAGTGTAGGAAGCAGTCCAAATTTCAGATCACTTGCTGGGATCCTTCCATGGTGGACCCATCTCTCAGGAGTCATTGGCATTTCAGCTTTCATTTCTACATTGGTACAATGAAAGACACAATGTTTTTCATTCTTCTTTTTTTTTTTTGCTTCTTCTCCTCCTTCTTCTTTCTTACCTATTTCAAACGGTTGAGGCTATTAGTGCCTCTGGAATAGCCTTCTTAAATTATCCATGGACGTTTTCAGAGAAGAACCCCCTTGAGGCAGAGCTGTCAAGATAAGGACTCTGAAGCTAATGCCACCTCCTCATTGCTTTGCATTATTTATCTCATGTAGACAGCCACGCCACTACCAACAGAACCCTAATTAGACAACCAGGAAAAAGATATGCAGGGCTTGAAAAAAGGGGAGAAAAAGAAAGTGAAATATAGTTTAGGAAGAACACAAAGAGGAATTATTTATCAGCCAGATAAAAAAGTAGTGGGATGATTTCATTCAGACTGTTCTTACTATAAATAAAAATTTTCAGATTTTATTCTAGAATATAAGCTTGGTGAGAGCAGAGACTATGCCTGTTTTGTTGACTTGCGTCTCTCTTCGGTGCCTGGCACAGTGCCTAGTACTTGTGAGTGCTCAATTTATCTTTTAAAAATACATGACCAGTGGTCATGATGTGAGCCTTCATCTGCTGAATGCTCACTCCACGACAGGCTCTGTGCTAGACACTCTGCACCTCCACACACAGGTTAAAATGGTAACCCTCTGAGTCATCCTGATTTCGGTGAGAGGGGTGCTCTGGGACTAAATAGGACAGAGACAAACCTGAGAAAAGTTAATGAAGTAAGAATTATCGCAGTTTTAACAGATATTTAAAACTATGGCTTAGAGAAAGTAACTATCTCATATTATTGTATGTGGGGGCTTCCAGCTTTCCTCCTTTCATTTACTTGCTGTTATGGGCTGAATATTTGTGGTCCCCCCGCACCTAAATGTTAAAATCCTCACCCCTAATGTGATGGTCTTAGGAAGTGGGTCCTTTGGAGGATAAATTAGGTCATGAGGGTGGAGCCCTTATGAATGGCATTGGTGTCTTTATATTTATTTATTTATTTATTTTGAGGTGGAGATTCATTCCATCGCCCAGGCTGGAGTGCAGTAGCACAATCTCAGTTCCCTGCAACCTCCACCTCTGGGGTTCAAGTGATTCTCCTGCCTCAGCCTCCTGAGTAGCTGGGACTACAGGCTCCCGCCACCACACCTGGCTAATTTTTGTATTTTTAGTAAAGACGGAGTTTCACCTTGTCTCCTGACCTGGGGTGATCCACCCACCTTGGCCTCCCAAAGTGCTGGGATTACAGGCATGAGCCACCACACCTGGCCTGGTGTCTACAAAAGAGACCCTAGGTTGCTCTGTAGCCCACTTCTATCATGGGAGGGAGGACCAATGAGAAGGTAACCATCTGTGAGCCAGGGAGAGGGCCCTCACCAGAACCCTACCATTCTGGTCTCCTGATCTCAGACTTCTAGCCCCAAATATCTGTGCAGAATAAATTTATTTTGTTTTCTTTTTTTTTGAGACAAGGTCTCACTCTGTCACCCAGGCTGGAGTGCAATAGTATGATCATAGCTCACTGTAGCCTGGAACTCCTGGGCTCAGGTGATCATCCCGCTTCAGCCTCTCAAGTAGCTAGGACTATAGGCACATGCCCCTGTACCCAGCTAATTTATTTTATTTTTGTGTAGAGACAGGGTCTTGCTTTATTGTCCAGGCCAGTCTTGAACTCCTGGCTTCAAGGGATCCTCCCTGCCTCATCCTCCCAAAATGCTGGGATTACAGGCATCAGCCATAGTGCCTGATGAGAAATAAATTTCTGTTGTTTATAATCCACCCAGTCTATGGTAGTTTCTCATAGCAGTTTCAACTAAGATACTTGCTTAACTTCTTTTCCTGATCTCACTCTCTAAGGAGAAAACGATAAAAGCCAAGCTCATGAATTCTTGCAAGAAAAATAGAGAAACAGAACAGAAACCTACAGTCTTCGGGATGTTGTGGATGAGGGTGGGGTCATGAGGAGTAGGAGGCCTGCCTGCTGGCACCATGCAGGACTGGGCATGGCTTAGCAGAGAGGGACACTAAGCAGGGAGATGGTGGGGACAGGGCAGAGCAGACAGGAGAGTGAAACTGGTAAGGAAGAAGAATGAGAGCTCCAGGGAGTTCACAAGAGCCACTGTGGCCTAAGTATTTGATTCTCTTAAATGTGTGATAGAGAATTGTGTCAAGACTGAATTTGCAGGGGAAACAATTACTTCTGTCAATGTGGCCATGTCCCTGGTTTGACTGAAGCCTCCAGGATTTCTGGATATAAGGGTATGTTGAAAGATGTTGTCTCTGTGGCCACAGAAAGTTACTCTGTGTTATTTATTCCATCAGGAACTCCCTGCTCCCTGGGCTCATAATGACTCCAGGTTTCTTCCCTTATTAACTTTCTTCAGGCTTATTCCTGTCCTGTTCTTGAGGACAAATCTGGGTCACAAATCTGGGTCATTGTCTGTTACCCAAGATTTGTTGTCCTTTGGTGAATCATCTGGGGAAGGCACTGGACTTGAACACCGGTTCTTCTGCTCATCTCTTCTTAAGGGCTTCAAACAAGGTCATACCTCTCAACTTCACTTTTCCTCCTTTGTAAAGCTTCAGTGATTTCTACTCCTGGCCATTTTTTTTTTTTTTTTTTTGAGACGGAGTCTCGCTCTGTCACCCAGGCTGGAGTGCAGTGGCCGGATCTCAGCTCACTGCAACACTGCAAGCTCCACCTCCTGGGTTTACGCCATTCTCCTGCCTCAGCCTAATTTTTTTTTCTGAGATGGAGTCTTCACGTACTCTGTCACCCAGGCTGGAGTGCAGTGGTGGGATCTTGGTTCGCTGCAACCTCCACCTCCCAGGTCCAAGCGATTTCCCCTGCCTCAGCCTCCTCAGTTGCTGGGTTACAGGCATGTGCCATCATGCCTAGCTAATTTTTGTATTTTTAGTAGAGATGGGGTTTCACTGTGTTGGCCAGGATGGTCTCAAACTCCTGACCTCAAGTGATCCACCTGCCACGGCCTCCCAAAGTGCTGGGATTACAGGTGTGAGCTGCCTCGCCCTGCCTAGCTGTTCCTGTTCTTATTCTAACTGTCTAAAACCCCTTGCCTCTTTTGTCCTAATCAAGTTTTCCCTATCCTCGAAGGCACAGCTGGCCTATCTTCTCTTCCACAATGTCTTCGTTGCTCACCTTTTCCTGCCTACACCGATCTCTGTCTTCCATCTTTCCCTTATTTTGGCATGTAACCAAATATTCCCTGCAAATGTGACTTTATTACTCCAATGTTGGAGTGTCCCATCCCTTCAGCTAGATAGTGAATTTCTTGAGGGCAAAGATCGTGCCTCTTAACCTCTTCCAGCTTACTGTGTAAATTACTATACTGCTAAGACCTTAGATTTTACAAGGGGGCTTCCACTTGTTCAACTTGTTGAAGAAACACATTCTTTTGTTATTCAATCCTGCAAACTGTGATTCCTCTCTCTTGGTGCTACTTCATGATGTATGCAGCAATTCTGCAGCTGAAGTCTCAGGCCCTCACTCACTCTTCAGAGACCTCGAAGCAACTCTCTCCCACTATGTCCCCTTTCTGGGCACTTTTCAGGACAGTTAGTTAGTTCTATACCCACTCCTGGGTCCCCCTCTTCCTTTCCTCTGCACCTTCCAGTATTAGGAACCTGTCTTTTCCTTCCCTTCAGAGAGTAGATGCCCATCTCCAAGCAACTTTATTTCTTCCTTTCTTTGTTTCTTCTTTTCGTCTCTTTCCCAAGACACCTTTGCTTTGAAGAGGCTGCTGAAAAGGAGTAGAATATTTCATTTTTTATGATCAGCAAAAGAAAAAGAAGGAGGCTTCATGGGAAAAATTGGCAAGATCTAAAGTTATTTGCATTTCATAGGAATCAAAAGTTTTCCAAGTTTTTTTTTTTTTTTTAAAGGACCTTCAAGTATACTAAAAGAAAAAAAAATGATCCTAATGTTGAAACACCTGCTGCAGATCTGGGGGCTTTGAATTTAGCGGCTTTAGGTTGGGACCAAGAAATTCTCTGAATTCGAAACTTACTGGCTCTTACCTTGGCTTGGTGCAGCATTTCATCCCCAGCGTTCCTCTTTTCTTTCCTTTCAGAATACAGCCGAGCCAAAGCACTTGTCTGCGTGCCCGTGGACGTGACAGAGACCTTGAGGTGTTTTAGAGAGACACTGGAAAAATCCAAATACCATAACAGATCAATGCGACACAGCAGAAAGTTGCTTTCATTATTTCTTGCACAGACACAAGGTAAAATGTACGCTCTGTATCTCTGAATCTTTCTTTATGTGGGGTGACCACCCTGCGGATATCCCTCTTCTGCCCTCTCGTTCTTCCCCCCGTGTACATGCAACACTCCCTGATGCCTTTCACTTTCCTCTTGTCTAGTGGATCTAGTCTCTGTCTTACACTTTAACCAATGCACTTTCTCACTCACTGACTTTTATGCTTTCTGTGAAACTAGCAAACTCTCTTGAGTACAGTAGATGTGACAATATTCATTAATTTTAGATTCTGTACATTTATGTTCTTCTTACAGTTTTCTTTGAAGGTGTGGCACTGTAGTCTTGTTTTACTTCGTGAGTAGATGGATTGAATCATACTGAGTTAACTAGAACCTTTTACCAAAACACTACTTTATCAGTGGCAAAGAAATGGATACCTTTTAAAACAAGCATCAACAAGATTTCTTATTAATACTATAGATTTTGATCTTAGGGGTTTTATTTTAGCTTAAAGTAAGATATTCACTATTGTTGGTTGCATTGCATTTATTTGTTTTCTCTTTTAACATCTATCTGCTTGTGAATTCAAGCAAAGCTGGCTTTGAGTGATTAAATGGTAACCTCAGAGAAGAGTACATTCAAATTTAGGCTGGAAAAATCCTGAACTATCTATTCTTAAGTTATTTAAAATTTTTAAAAATGCTATTTTATATTTATGATTCTCGCTATTCAAGTTGGTGAGAATAATAAGAATACATTTAAATAATAGGCAAATACATGTAAAATAGTATAAAATTATTAAAAATAGATTTAAATTCTACTTAATTAAAATGCTAATTTCCACTGAAATGATCTTTTAGAAATTTGACCAATTTTTTTAACAACCACAGGCAGAGTTTTATTTGTTTACGTATTTATTTGTCCGTTATTGTTGCCTGCCCCCCACACTTTCTATGATATGTATCCATAGTTTTTGGTTATATTGTCTGCAGACTCGCAGTATGTTAAATTAGCTCTCCATATCCTGTTTGGCTTCTTTTAATTGCTCCATGCATTAACAGTGGGTAAGGCTGGCTGGGCACCATGGCTCACGCCTGTAATCCCAGCACTTTGGGAAACCAAGGAGGGCAGATCATTTGAGGTCAGGAGTTCGAGACCAGCCTGGCCAACACAGTGAAACTCTGTTTCTACTAAAAATACAAAAATTAGCCAGGTGTGGTTGTGTGCACCTGTAATTCCAGCTACTCGGGAGGCTGAGGCATGAGACTCGCTTGAACCAGGGAGGCAGAGGTTGCAGTGAGCTGAGATTGTGCCACTGCACTCCAGCCTGGTGACAAAGCGAGACTATCTCAAAACAAAACAAAGCAAAACAGAAACGCACCCACCCCCCGCCACAAAAAACAGTGGGTAAGGGCATAAATAAAAAGGCAAATACAATTCCTAGGAATGGTTTACACCAACTCACTCTGAATCTCACCTGGTACCAAAATATTTTCAGTAGTTTATCTCTAGTCCTCAGACTGTAGACTTCAAAATCTATACTAGCTTCTTTCTCTATTACTTTTAACTGCTTCCCCTAGAATATAGATTTTTTTTCCCATGTGTTCTCTGATCTTATAAAGAGACAAGTTTTTTCTTTTCTTTTTTTTGTCTCATGCCAGAACTGCTTGTGTGTTGCTTCTATCCCAGAGGTTTCTGCCCCAGAGGCACACTAACACTTTATTGTTGGAAGCTATTTAAAAAAGGCAAACTCAGATTATGCAACTTCCACCAGTCCCCCAAGAGCAATGCATTATCTCAGTATTTGCTTTCTGGCTGACAGTCCTCTGTAGTGCTGTTTTTTTTTTTTTTTTTGAGACGGAGTCGTGCTCTGTTGCCCAGGCTGGGGTACAATGGGGCGATCTCGGCTCACTACAACCTCTGCCTTCTGGGTTTAAGCAATTCTTCTGCCTCAGCCTCCCGAGTAGCTGGGATTACAGACATGTACCACCATGCTCGGCTAATTTATTTTTAGTGGAGATGAGGCTTCACTATGTTGGTCAGGCTGATCTTGAACTCCTGACCTCAGGTCATCCACCTGCCTCGGCCTCCCAAAATGCTGGGATTATAGGCATGAGCCACTGTGCCTGGCCCCTCTGTAGTGTTTTTGATGAAATAAGGCAGACATGGAGCCTATCCACACATACCTAGGATCTTTAGATATGATCCTGGATACTAAGTTTAAGGACATAGTGTCCCTCAAACTACAAAAATGTCTCAGCTCTATACAAAATATTTCCTTTCTTTTTGCTATCCATTTTCTCTACCTTCCCTCCCAACTTCCCTTCTTTCTACATTTTAAATTTATTTCTTCTTATTATTTTTCATGAATTTAGGAGAGAGAGAAGGAATAAACAATTCAAAAGGTACTTCTGGAAAGGTGGAATTTTGCCTGGGGACAGAGGAGATGCATATGTCAATACCCCCTGACCTTTCTCAGGAGCACTTCAGAGTTTTTAGTTCCGTGGAGAAAAGCAAACTTCCATATTCACAACTTGGACTTGTAATTTCTTCTTATCACCAAACTATTGGTAAGAGTTAGCCATTATGTATTCGTTTTCTTTAATTTTTTTTTTTTTTTTGAGACGAGGTCTCATTTTGTCATCCAGGCTGGCGTGCAGTGGTGCTATCACAGCTCACTGCAGCCTCAACCTTCGGGGCTCAATCTGTCCCCTCCCACTTCAGTCTCCCGAGCAGCTGGGACCGCAGGCTCACACCACCACACCTGACTAATTTTCATATTTTTTGTAGACATAGAGTTTCGCAATGTTGTCTAGACTGATCTCAAACTGTTGGTTTCAAGCTATAAGCCTGCCTCACCCTCCCAAAATACTGGTACAGGAGTGAGTCACTGTACCCGGCTATGTCTCCATTTTCTATATGATCTTCTACATTAATGCTGAGATTGCATCTGGTCCTGAAATCTTACCTTTAAAAGAAAGATAAAAGAACCTATACCCCTGCAGCAGTGACAGAACAGCCTGGAGACAGAAGAAGCTTCCAGCCTCCTCCCTTTACCCATTTTCTTAGCTTGGCCATCACGATTGTGAGATTCTAGGCCACCCTTCTGTTTATTCCTCTTTCATTGGAGCTGTGAGCCCCTTGTGGGGATGGAGACGATGTTCTTTTTTCTGGTCCCAGCTAATTCCATTTGCCTTGTCTTTCCCTTGATTTGGCTTTTCTACAGCTTCAGTAGTATATTCCCAACCCATACGATAGACCCAATGTCCTCTTTCTTTCTAACAGACATTTTATGATGCCCCCTTTACTTCCTGAAATAAAATTTATATTTAATATATTCTTATACACATTATTTTGAAAAAAATTATTATGAAGCTCTAAATATAAAAATAGGGGAGAAATAGCTTCACTTTATCATAAAAGAATCAGTTTGTTGGTGTGTAAATGCTCAGGCATTAGAAGCTGTAAAGAAATAATCAGATGCTTGTATCCTGGATATGGAATCACCATGAATGTGACAGCTGCGTATGCAGACAGAGACAGGTATGTTGTATTGGTGACTCAAATACTATCAACATGGTTAAATTCTGTGATATTTTCTAAAATGGCAAATAAATCTTGGTAAAGTCCTGAGCAAAACAAAGAACTACAGTGATTGCAATGTCTGGAAAATTTAGAAATCGTGGACATTTAGAAATCATGCAGAAATACCCTTCTTATGTGGAAAACGAAGTTCGATGTGACATTCAGATAGTTATAAACAGGCTTCTCATCTTTTCCTTCACTGTAGGGGAAGTTTCTGTGCCTTGCAGGCCATCTGACATCTTTGGTCTTAACCTATGAGTTACCAAAAGATGCCCCCATCGTGACATCTAACAAAACCCTTTCTCACATTTCTGAAATATCCTCTAGGGGACAGTATTGTCCTCATTAGAAACCACTGCCATGTTGGTTGGGGTTTTTGGCCACACATCCCAGAATGCATGCATTCACTAGAAAAAAAAAGTATATGATTTTTTGTTGTTGTTGTTTTTGATTGACACGGAGTCTCACTCTGTTGCCCAGTCTGGAGTACAGTGGCGTGATCTTGGCTCTGATCACTGCAACCTCCACCTCCTGGGTTCAAGCAATTCTCTTGCCTCAGCCTCCTGAGTAGCTGGGATTACAGGCGTGTGCCACCATACCTGGGTAATTTTTATATGTTTAGTAGAGACGGGGTTTCACCCTGTTGACCAGGCTGGTCTCGAACTCCTGACCTCAGGTGATCTGCCTGGTTTGGCCTCCCAAAGTGCTGGGATTATAGGCATGAGCTACCTTGCTGGTCCAATTAGGTGATATTAAAGATATTTTCTGCCTTCAGGTAAAAGGAGAAATCTGATATGTGGTGATCTTGTCACATGTCTGCTAAAAAACAAACCCTTTGACCCTTCCCATCTGCTATAGGATAACATCCACTTTCCTCCAAGCTGCAGTCAGAGGCCCTCAGAGTCTGACCACTGCCTCCCACTTCAGACTCAGTTCACCCTCTCCAGAAAACCATACTCCAGTCATGCCCATCATTCCTATGCGTACCCAGCCATTTTCCCTTACATGCCGTTTCTAATTTTCTCTTCTCCTGTCTCTACCTGTATGACTTTTATTCTTCACGAAGCACCATTATTACTATCTGTTAGAGCCAGTCTTTCATTCTGTAATCAAATAGAACGTTTGCTTGCTCTCTGTGTATATATATTGTGTGACATTTGAAGGCGCTGTTAACTTGGAGTTTGCTTACTGCAATCTACACAGTTAAGGAATAGTGCAGTTTAAAATATTCTTGCAAATATAAAGAAAATATTTTTCTAGGAACTGACATTTGTTCTTTTACTTGATTAAAAATATAGATGTTCTCCAAGCCAGCAATCAAAGAAGTCTTAAAGTTCAGGCGTTGCATTCACTTGGAAGTCTTCTCATCTTCGCAGAAAAGAAAAGGTAGATTTTTAGAAGTCTGTAGAACAAGGGCAAAAGTTTTTTATTTTCTTGTTTGAAGAAGTTTTTAATGATTATGAAAAAACATTGTCATTCATAAATTTTAGTTTTTCAACAATACTACATTGCTACATTTTATTCATCAAATACTACCTGAGAGAAACCATTAAGAACAGTGAATGTATGTATAGTTATACGTATGTTAATTGATGTTGCTTCGGTGTATTTGCTTTCCCTTCTGGAAGATAGATTTAATAATGGGTCTCAGAAAATATACTGCTTGATGCTTTGTCTCTGTTTTAGGGCTGCTTTTAAGTGTTGGTGTCAAGCTCTTGATGACATATTCAGAAAACCAGACGTGCTGCACACGTGGAAAGAATTTGGCCCCTCGCTCACCAATGTCACCAACAGCCATTCACCTCTGGGTTTCAAAGACTACAGTGAGGAGTTTCTGTCAAGAGTTGGCATCTGGGGGTGTTTGCAAGGAGCAGTCATATCAGCAAAGATAGCACAGTGAGTGTGAGGATAGAAGGATCCGCATACTAGCTAACAGCTTCCTTGCAGGGTGCCCCCCAGTGCCATGCAAAATGCAATGCCTCATGCACACTGGATTTCTGGGAGGTTATGTCCATATCATACAGGGCCTTACAGTTTATTTACTTATTTGTGATGTTTATTGCTTATGATTATCTCCTTTTCCTGTAACACAACTCTTGCCCCAAAATATCAGTGTCACCTGGGCCCAGGTGTTTGCTTTGCTTACTCATAGATCCCAAGTTCCAGATATGCATTCAATAACTGTTTGGTTTTTTTTTTGTTGTTTGTTTTTTTTTTGAGACGGAGTCTCACTCTGTCACCCTGACTGGAGTGTAGTGGCTTGATCTCGGCTCACTGCAACCTCTGTCTCCTGGGTTCAAGAGATTCTCCTGCCTCAGCCTCCTGAGTAGCTGGGATTACAGGTGCCCACCACCATGCCCAGCTAATTCTTTTGTAATTTTAGTAGAGACAGGATTTCACCACGTTGGCCAGGCTGGTCTGGAACTCCTGAATTCCGATGGTCTGCTCACCTCAGCTTCCCAAAGTGTTGGGATTACAGGCGTGAGCCATGGCGTCTGGCTCAACAATGACTTTCCGAGTGGTCAAATGAATGAGCAATTGGTAAGAGAGCAGGAAAACAGTGTGGAGGCAGTCAGGCATGGGCCTCATCCAAAAGTGTACTAGAAACCAGTTACTTTCAACAAGTTTCACATTCCTTCTGAGACTCAGTGTCCTTATCTCTAAGCCAAGGTGGTAAAAATTACATGCCATACTGTATCAATTTGCTAGGCTGTCGTAACAAAGTACCACAGACTGGGTGGCTTAAACAACATAACTTCGTTATCTCATGATTCTGAAGGCTAGAAGTTGGAGAACAAGGTGTTGGTTAATCAGTTTCTTCTGAAGCCTCTCTTCTTGGCTTGTAGAAAGACCACTATGTCCACATGTGGTCTTTCCTCGGCATGTCAATGTCCTAATCTCCTCTTCTTATAAGGATACCAGTCATATTGGATTAGGGCCCAACTCTGTGGCCTCATTTTAACTTAGTTACTTACCTCTTTCGATGCCCTGTCTCCAAGCATGGTCACAATCTGAGGTTACTGGGTATGTTAGGCTGTTCTTGCTTTGCTACAAAGAAATACCCAAGACTGAGTAATTTATAAAGAAAAGAAGTTTGATTGGTTCTTGATTCTGCAGGCTGTACAGAGAGCATGGTACTAGCATCTGCTGGGTTTCTGGAGAGGCCTCAGGATGCTTTCAATTATGACAGAAGGCCATATTTGAATATAGGAGCCCGCATCTCACATGGCAAGAATGGGAGCAAGAGAGAGTGGGAGGTGCCACACTTTTTAGACAACTAGATGTGATGTGAACTTACTCATCACCAAGGAGATGGCACTAAGCCATTCATGAGGGATCCACCACCGTGATCCTACTACCTCCTGCCAGGCCCCACCTCCAATACTAGGGATTACAGTTTAGTATGAGATTTGATGGGGATGTATATTCAAACTATATCACTAAGAGTTAGGACTTCAACATATGAATTTCTAGGGGACACAAGTTAGCCCATAATACATACTGTATTACTGTCCTTTTTTGCTGCTGTAACAAATTACCCTAAACCTAGTGGCTTAAAACAAAATAGATTTATTCTTTTACAGTTATAGAGTTCAGAAATCATAAAATTAGTGTGTCAGCAGGGCTGTGCTTCCGCTGGAGGCTCTTGGGGAGAAGCTGATTCCTTATCTTTTCCAGCTTCTTGAGGCCTCCTGCATTCCTTGGTCCATGACCCCACCTTCTATCTTTAAGACCAACACCTTAGCATCTTTCCCCCACACCTGCCCCTCTCTGTCTGTCTCTCACATCTTCCACCTTCACATCTCCTTCTCTGTCTCTGACCCTCCTGCCTTTCCCTTATAAAGGCCACTGTGACAATCCAGGATAATCTTCCCTATCTCAGTGGCTTTAATTTAATCACATCTGCAAAGTCTTTGTTGCCCTATAAGGTCACATATTCATAGGTTCTGGAGATAAGGTCATGAATATCTTTGGGGGTCCATTATTTAGCCTTCCACACATAACACATGTGAATGTCTTTAACAATGGCTTATGCATAGCTAGCACTCACAAATATCTTAAGTATTTCAAATTTCTGATTAACATGAGAAATTTGAAAAGTATGGAGGGATTAGAGGTATAGGTTTCCTTCACCTCTCCAGTTACTTCTTTAGCTGACCTGTCGGAGGTGGTGAGCAACAACCTGCAGAGTGTTTTAAGCTGTAGAGCACACTTAAAAAAACTTACCTGTTCCTAGGTGGTGATCACATTGCTTTCAGATTAGCATCTTCAGTCAGGGAAGTAAGAAAGTACTGCTTTAAAAGTATTAAATGTCAAAGATTTAGACTTCTGTCAAGTTTAATTTTTTTGTGCTCCTGGGATAGAACACACACACTCTCTCTCTCTCTTTCTCTCTCTCTCTCTGTCTCTTTGTCTCCTGAAACAAAGTCTGAGCTTATGACTTAGTGGAGCTTGTCAATTGGGAATGGAAAAGCCAAGGAAAGGAACAGGTTGGAAAGGAACAGCTACAGGCTTCCTGCCAGAGGGCACCTCCGCTTCTCTGAGCTTCTGAAGTTATTACCTAGTGATTTTTAACAAACAGAAAGTCATTTCCTGGTTTCCCAGCTGGAAGTCTGACTGTCATAGGAGATGTCATTCTACAGGGGCTTTGGCTGTTTTCCTAGACTCCCTGAGTAGAGGAAACTCTTCTCCCCCCTGTAGAATACACACTTGAAGATCCACACAGTGAAGCTGAACTGAGGTAGACATTGTTATTAATGTAGTGAACCTGACTGGTTTTAGGAGAAGGTAATGTGGTTGGTAGTTGCAAATGTGAATTTTAAGACTCTTATATAGAAAACTCAAACTCTTCTTCTAACGGACATAAAATGAAAGAGTTGTAAATGGAGAGATATTAATGTTTGGTGGAGATACTTAATGTTGTGAACGGCTCCATAATAAACAGCTAGAGAGAAAATACAATGCTTCAGTCTTCAGGTGGAATTATTTAACCGCACTCATCAAAAGCCTTTACTGTGCACCCACTTTTACCAAAAGCTTTCACTTCCAGGGCTTCATTCAGTGGAACCGATAGGATAAGTGCCCAAAAGTGTAGGCATAACAGTGTTTACCTCAGCATTGGAAAACGCCAGTGGAGATTCATATTTTTATGTTATGGCACATCTGTATGATAAAACATTAAAGTTCTTTAGAATAATGATATAGTCCGTTATGTCTGTGAATGAAAAATTTGTTTATAAAGTTGTATATATTGCCTAATTCTACTCTTAATGTGTATGTATGTGTTTCTCTGTGTGTATAGTTATATACAGAAAAAATATATATAAGGAAATTGACTAAAATATTACTAGTAATCATGTTTAGGCAGTAGGATTACAGGGGATTTTTTAAATCTTCTTTAATGTATTTTCCTTTTATTTTCTTATATATTTGTATGTATATTTTTTCTTATACATTTTGTGTTCTAAATATGTATGTAAAGACATATTCATATCAAAATGTTTTTGGAAAATTTTTACTAATCGGTTTATTTTTCTTATACTTACTTAGATTTATTAAGTCATTGAATGTTGAAAAGAAAACTGACTGTTGCATTTTGTCTGCATTACTCTTTCAGGTAACGCTTTATTTATGTATGTTTTTCCATGGTGGCACAACCATTCATTGGATCAGTAAAAAAAGTTTATCATATTCAGAAAACTCAGGTAGCAAAATAGCATGAATCTTGATTAAATATCACAAGCCCATCTTTCTCTTGATCGCTGAACCCCTGTGAGACCTTCACCTTTAATTTCTTTTTTTTCTTTTTTTTGAGATGGAGTCTAACTCTGTCGCCCAAGCTGAAGTGCAGTGGTGCAATCTCAGCTCACTGCGACCTCTACCTCCCAGGTTCAAGTGATTCCTGTGCCTCAGCCTCCCAAGTGGCTGGGATTACAGGCACGTACCACCACACCTAGCTAATTTCTTGTATTTTTAGTAGAGCTAGGGTTTTACCATGTTGGCCAGGCTGGTCTCGAACTCCTGACCTCAGGTGATCTACCTGCCTTGGCCTCCCAAAGTGCTGGGATTATAGGTGTGAGGCACCGTGCCTGGCCCACCTTTAATATTTAACAGAGTCAGTTTTCTGCTTTACACTACAGAAGAAGGAATTTTACAGATGGGGAAACTGAGTCTTCTGTCATTAGGAAGATCATGTTACTAGTAATCAGTATGAAGCCAGTCTGTTTGACTTCAAATAGTTGCCTTAGGTTACCTCATCTCTAAATTCAGTTTTGCTTGGTTATATGATATAAAATCTATCTTATGATGAAGGTGAAAAATAACTTGAAGACTACAGGAGAGGTGTTCTTGCAGTTCTGAGAATTTTGGTTTGACTTCACTGAAGAAGAAAGGAGCTTTTATCTGAAATACAAGACATTTTGAAATTCCAAAATGTAACCAAGGACCTTTGCAATCTACTAAAGGTTCTATTTACTTTGAAAGATGGGCACTCTTGTTCTGTGTATCAGAGAAGTCTCATAGCTTATGAAATCTAAATAAGTGAGTTCTTCAGGAAGGGCTTCTCTGAATGTAAGGCCAGACTTTTCAATTTTCTTATGTTCCTTATACCTCTTGTCTGGACTTTAAAGGGAAGAAGTACAAGAGGCAGAGGTGCAAAGGAAATGACCCAACTCTGACTTGTTAAATCGCATTCTTTACTTTCTGATACTCCTTGTTCTTGAAGATAATGCTGTTTATGTTTTAGAAAATATGTGTTTTAACAAGTATTTAACTTTTTGCTTAATGTGGACAATAATGTGTGTATTATTTCTTAGTAATACTATACCTAAAATAAAAATTAGCTGGTGGGATTTATCTTAAAAGCCTATTAATTCTTTTTATGATTTTAAAACAAATGTATGATAGTAAAAATTTCAACAACTACAAAGTATTTTAGAATAGTATATCTCATGACCTTAATAAGCCACTGGATTGAAATTCTTTCTGATATATACATTAAAATAATTTCATAATGCGTTTGTCATTAAGAAATTTTAATTGTTAAAATAACAAAGAAGCACCCTTAAATGAAAAATGTGGTTTTACATATTCATCTTGTCTCCCCAACATCTAGTGTAATGTTGGTTACATAAATTACCAAAAACTATTGGTCAAATTATAACAATAGTCTTTTCATTTAAGCAGTAAGAAGTTTGGAATTACCTATGCCTGATTGAGACTTCTGAAACAAGTAGTCATTTCCTCTACTTATAGCTTGGTATAGTGGAAAGAACATAGTTTTTTTTTTGTTTGTTTTGTTTTTTTTTTAGCTAAATAGACATGGCTTTGAATCTCCTTTCTGCCATTGTTAGCTGTGTGACTTCAGATAAATTGTTTAAGCCTCAATTATATCATTTGTGACATAATAATCCTCCCTTCTAAGAGCAGGTTAAAATAACATTAAATGAGATAATGTTTATAAAGAACTTACCGGCAGTGCTTAACATAAGATTGACCCTCAACAAAAGATAATTTAATATAATTATAATTTCTTTGAAAATAAGAGGTATCCAACTACCATGGAATTTAAAAAGCCCATCTGGAGTGATAAAAGCATTTGGAACCTGTAATGATGATAATATAAATGATAAGTACCATTTATTACAAAGTACAGTGTGCTAGGTATATACTAAGCATTTTATAAAGCAATATATGTATTTGTCTTTTTTTGTTTCATTATTGAAAATGCAATCTATAGCTCTTTATATTTCACTTTTTTTTCATTTTCAGGGTTTGCTTAGAACCACACTTCCACATCCCAAAGCTGAACGTTGCTATGCTCAGTATGAAATCACTCAGCTTCTCCCAGGCATCGAACTCTTCTCAGATAGATACAGGGCTGACATTTGCTCTGTAACTGCAAGTCTGTATTACATTATACGTGAACTGCACTTTGTTAGGCAAAATCTAATAGTAAGTAGTTTGTAAAATCAAAAAATATGTATCACTGGGATATTTTGCTCCACTTACCTCATACTTTTCAAACTTTGCTAATATTCTTTTGGTCAGTTACTGTTTAACTTTTAAACTCTACATATGTAGGATTCTTAATTACACTTCAAACTAAAGTATATTAATTAATATTCTTTCTTTGCATTTTGGATACAAAAGCAGACTATTTGATTTTTTCTCCTTTTACTGTGTTACTTTATATTTTTTTCTTAAGATAGTTGGTGAAATCGATCAGAATGCATCACTGATCTCAAACACGGAAATCTAGTGTACTTGTAAGCCACTGCATTAAGTTGTTCAGGTTATATCAATCCCAAAACTGTGAGAGTGTTTCTTTATTGAGATAAGTTTATCTTTATGTCTCTTATCTTTTCTCTGTCAATGGTGCATCTAAGAGGAAAACAGATTCTAAGCATGAGATAAAAACAGACATTTCTTAATGTCCTAGAAAATAAAAAAATCCAAATACAGCTCTCCTCTCCTTTGGGGAAAGAAATCGCAGTATATGTCATACATTTGAAGCTGGTTGCATTAAAAAATTAATATGTTCTATTAGAATTGTTGGTCATTTTATATTTTCCTCCATTATTTTGTCTTTTTACTTTCTTTATGTTCTTTCCTCTATTTTTTCACATCTCTTTTTTCCCTTTGTTTGCTTCTTTATAGCTATTCTTTCTTTTTTCTGCTCCTTTCCCTTTCCTCCGTGATTTTCATACCTACTTACTTTTTTCTCCCATATATTGTTTTCTATTCTCTTGGTATATTTATCCTTCTAATTCAACTCTATCTTTATATTGAAAATATTTATTGTCCCCTGATATGAATTGTTAGCTTATAAAACCATGTATTAAAGTAAAGAGATTGATAAGTGCATTTAACACTTGGCAGACTTGCTGAGAAATTGTTTATTTTTAAAAAATAACAAAATGGTGCCCCTCTCACTGTTAAAGGGATTCATTTTTGGGTTGAAGAAATAGTTCTATCCCCTGGGTAACCTTTAGCTGTCTAGTCGTATTCATATATAATACATATCACTGTGCTGGAAAAGAAATGAGATTTTGTTTTCTCTAAAGCTGAAGAAATTGAGAATGTTTTTCTGAATAATTGAGCAATTGGCAGCAATAAAATGGTGTGTTTTTATTTCTCGCTAAAGAAAAAGAAACTAAATCTCAAAGGTAATCGCCAACTCTTAATGTTTTGTGCTGCATTAATTGTGGAAAAAGGTATTGTGTTATGTTTGTTAGGCATAGTTATAGAAAAACGTTTTATGTTTGAAATCATTTAAGACCAGTTCTAATCCTTTAAAAAAGCTGTTGCTATTAGCAGCTGCCAGTTACCTGACGATTAGAGGTTCCCCAGCTGAAATTGCAAGAAGTAAACAATTTCCATTTTGTATTACATTAACCTTCTCCAGAAGAAGCCCAGTGGCTAAGGGGACTTCTGTGGAATATAAAATTTGCTATGTGACCCAGAGCTGTGGAGCTATGGGAAATAATTTGCTAACTAATGGGGATCCCAATCATCCTTCCACTCCATCTTCCTTTGGCAGGGAAGGCTACAGTTGCAGGAACTGAGCTTAAGGTTTGATTTGAGGTCAGGAGCTGTTCCAATGTTAGGCAAAACTGTCCTCTCCACATCTTTCTCTGGATGGATCGTGGTTGGGCCATTTGAAATATTGATAGTCTGTAAGCCTTCACATATATCCATGGGACTTCAAGAGCAACTGAACTTTGGGGTGAATTCTAGGAAAATAAAAATATTACGTGAAGAGTAAGCTTGGGTTTTAATAAGTAGAATATATGCTATGTGAAGGCAGGGATTTGTTAGATTTTTTTCTCACTCAACAGTGCCTAACACATAATAGGCATGTTATAAATATTTTTTGTTGATAGAAAAATTGTAGTTGAAGACAAAAAGCAACTGGCATTAAAATGAGTAAGTAGGATCCAGTTAGGGGGCAGAGATTGAGTTCCTTTGCTTTAAATTTTGCATTTATTTGGTAGCTCATTTGCTAGAATTTTTCCACAGGCCACAGTGATTCGTATATTTATGTTGAGTTAATTGTTTTCAAGGAAGATTATTGATTGGATTTTTACCTCTTCCTGCTTAAAGAGATGTACAACCTAGATTTGGGGTACCAAATGGCATCTACTGGGAACTGTAAGTCTCTAATAGCACCTTAAAGTTCCGATAAACTTATGAAGCATGTGCTAGATAGATTATTTCACTTATTTTCAACAGTATAGTTTCCTATCATGGAAAGTAAATCAATATATAACATATCCTATATTTAATATTTGGCTAAATTTGATTATTAGGTTATTAGTTTGATAAAATATATTTTGAGACGAGTGTTTTTCTCCTCATAGATTCTTCCTCTCCTTGCATTGTATCAATATTTTGTTTCTGGAATTTGTCAAGATATAATCAGAAGTCTAGAAGCAAGAATCCTCAAGGTATGTTACAAGCTTTTAAGACATTTGATATTCTTGAACTATTAAAGATATTGTCATGTATTAATTTGATTTTAGGACTTATATTAACAAGCTGATAATAACATGGCATTACACTGATATAAAAAATAACTTAGCCATTATTATAATAAAGTACGAGAAAGAGCCAGTTAGAAAGGTGTAGATTATTTTATGCTTGGACCACAGTAAAGTGAGGAACAGCTACACATGGAAATAAGGTTCACCCAACACCAATTGGCCTGGAAATCGCCACTTCTGAGAGACTGGCTTCCTGGTGAAGACCAACTGAACCAGTTTTCTGAAGCTTCTGTGAATTTATTCCTAAGAACCTTTATGGATATCATGGTACACAAGAATTTTTCAATGCACAGGTAATTGAATTAACAAGATCAGATAGATGCTAAATTACAAAAAATCCTGTAATCCAGAAGTCAGTTAAGGTTCTCTGCTTTTGAGATGCATGTGCAATTGATTGACTTGAACACCACATGGGATGGGAAGCACCTTATTCTCTATGCTCTCTATCCTAATCACTCATGTTGCCTGCTCCCACTTTTGTTGAATTTGTTTTGTACATGGATCATCTCAATATCCAACAAATTTGCTCCCAATTCTGTACCTCCTCAACTGTAATATGGAGTTCAACCCTATTTTATATTTTACACACACACACCCACGTGCACGTGCGCGCACACACACACACACAGTGTATTCACCCTTTTTTCTATAGTGGACTTTACTAAAAATTAGGAAGACAGAGAAATTTAAGTTGAGGCAAAACAAACAATTGAAGATAGAACATTTGGCTTTCTTGAGCTTAAAATCTTTCTTGGCCATCATCTCATGCTTTTGCCACCGACAGAATGGAGCAATCAGCTATGGGCTGGTAAACGTCACAATTGGCTCTAAAAAAATAAACCTCAAAGCCCGGCGTGATGTCTCACGCCTGTAATCCGAAAACTTTGGGAGGCCAGTGCGGATGGATCTCCAGGTCAGGAGTTCGAGACCAGCCTGGCCAACATGGCGAAACCCCATCTCTACTAAAGATAAAAAAATAATTAGCCACGTGTGGTGGTGGGCACCTGAAATCCCAGCTACTCTGGAGGGTGAGGCAGGAGAAAAGCTTGAAACCAGAAGGTAGAGGTTGCAGTGAGCTGAGATCACACCACTGCACTCCAGCCTGGGCGACAGGGCGAGACTCCATCTCAAAAAAAGACAAAAAACAAAAAAACACCTCAAAATTTTCATTTGTGGCATTTTCAATTTCCATCCATGGTGTGAATACTCCCACTATGTCTGACTTCAAGCTACCGACTAGACATCACTAATGATGGAATCAGGGACAAGATGTGCACAATTAGCTCTTGCAAATTGGAGTTAGTGGGCTCCAATACACCACTGGCTTAATTCATACTTCTGCTTTTGTGGAAATACTCTCTGCCTTTTGTTGCCAAATTTCTCCCATTTTCTAATAAGGGAAAATTAGACTTCCATTTGAATTTCTCTTCATGTCTAAACCCTGCCCTGGGGCCTATATTTTCAGACCTAAATAGTTTGTGGCATGCTATTTCTAAGTAAAGAAATGAAGAATTCTGGTGCTGATTATTAATGATTTTAACCTGGGAATAAATAATTTGTTACTGATCATAAAAATTTCTGAATCACCCTCTCTGAGTTACTGAACTCTTATGAGTTCTATTGCTTTTGAATTCCAACACTTTTAAAAGAAACTGAATGTAACTTTTCTCTCTTTTTTACAAAAGATAATGTTCTCTTCAATATTGCAAAATTCTTGAGGCTAGGATCTGTATCTTATTCATCTTTTAATTCCCTGTAGTGTCTTGAGTAATACATTCACATAGTTGAAATTCAGTAATTAACTATTGAATTTAAAATCTGCAGACATTTTTCAAGTGCCTACTTGCACTCTCTATAGTGTTTAGTGGGAACTCACCTAGAAAATACTTGGCAGATGTTTATTGATTTAACTCTAAAACAACATTTATCGAGTACTTCCTATTTAAAAGCACAATGTTAGTAACTCCAGTCGAAGAAATGTAACCAATGATCCTTGCTTATAAGGAAGTGAAAACTAAGAAGAAAGACAGGACGTATACCCAAGATAATAATGTTGGCACCTGCCACTTGATCATTTCCAAATGGGTGTGATGAAGACTCTCCAGGAGTTTGAAAGAGGAAAAAATGGCTTTGAGTCTTTAGGTTTCACTAAGTAGGTAAGATTTAGGCTTGAAAAGAGTAGAATTCATGGAGCAGGAGAGAGGAAAAAGGGAACATTTCTTGGCCGTCAGTGTGAAAGATAGGTGAGAAAATATTGACTTGTTTAGGGGGTAGGGGGGTTCAGTTACACTAGAGTGGAGGTTTTGGGTAGGCAGGTTGTAGAAGATAACATGAGTATACCAGAGGTCGATGACATTGAGAATACCAGGGACTTAGTCTTGAATTCCCAACTCTGAAGAGATGTAATTTGGAGGTGGAGCTATGAGAGAAATGAAGAGATTGCAATATCCGAATTTTGTAACATGTACAATCTGGTCTGTCCTTAAGAAGCAAGAAGCATGAAAGGGTTGCAATGATCATAACTCATCAAGAGGAGATCTAGGTGGGCACCAAAAGACATAATCTGGAACAAAGTGGTTAGATGACTTTTTAAAAATCATATTGTTAGCACTTGGTAGCTGTTTTTGTCCTAGAGTAGCATAAAAACCAGAGAAGAATTGTGGACTTCATTCTGGAGAACTGGGTTGGAGAATTAATTACAGAATTTATATAGAACCTTATTGTTTCTATAATTAACTAATTGTAGAATTTGGATCAGGAGAATGACATGATCTTATCTGGTGTCTGGTACCAGTGTCAGGAGTAGAGTGAGCAGTGGGATCTTATTGGCATAGTAGGATTGAAAAACCAGACTAAGGTTTTGACAGAGCAATGAAAGAGGACAAATGATGGATCATACAGAGGAAGGAATGACAGCCTGTGTGAGCAGAGTTTGCCTGACCTTTCTGAAGTAAACTGGGGTCAGGGAGTGGGAAGAGAGAAAAGTCATAGTCGGGAAATAACACACAATGATGATTCCTGACAAATCAAAGAGCAATAGATCACACTCTGAAGTTTCTATAGTGCCCTAGTGTCTTTCAGGGAAAGCTTTAAGACCTCTTCATGATCAGCTGGCCTGGCTTCACTTTAGAACTGCCAACATCTTGAAAGATTTGTCACTCTCAACACATCAAACCTAGGAAGGGTACCAGTGATTCTATATTTGTGTGAGTGAATGGTTGATTTATGGGTAGTTCTTTTTGCTCTCTGGCTTGTTTGTGTTTGCAGTGTTGGTCACCTCTGAAAATATATGTCCATTATTTACCCAATTGCTTTTTCAAATGGTCAGATTGGTATGATAAACTGAAGCCAGAAAGAGTCCATGTTCAGCAATCTTATAGTCAAAACTCAAGGAAACTAACCACATACAGATATAGGGAAGTGTTTCCTCCTAGGGGTAATGAGAAAAATGGTCATCTAGAAACCTGAAAGAGTTTATATGTCTCCCCCAGAGCCTCCTTTGATATTATATGGCACTGGGGAGATTAGACCCCAAGGTACCTTAGGCAAAGACCAAAGTATGCAACTCGATAGACAAGCAATTTTCTCTTTCTTATTAAAAATATTTTCCTGATCTTTTATATTTTATTTTCATGTTATTTATGTATACAGTTTCCCACTAGCGCACCTTTTTATTTCTTTAAAATTCGCACACTCTTGAGATTCCTAAGATAATAACAAATGGGAAACAGAGAGTATGATAGGTGGACATGCTGAGGATAAATGGAATTTTCTTTTCCTATGTTATATATTTACACGTTCATCTAATTTCGTACTTTATTCTCTGCTTCCACATTTACCCTTCTCTGGTCTCTACAAAGTCACTAGATAGTTTTCACAATTTAAGTCAGGTTAGGGCCCTGTCCTGTTTAAAACTCTCCAGTAACTCCTTATCACACAAAGAATAATGTGCAGAGTCCCTACTCTGGTCTTCAGGTTCTACTTGACCTTTTTTGGCCAGCATTCATACTCACCTCCTGACCTCCTCCCCTTGCTCCCTGAGTCCTGCCATACGGCCTCTACACTAAGGTCCCTTAGCAGATTTTCATGTCTGTCTCCTTTAATGCCATTCCCAAATCTTCTCTTGAAGGTTTTCTTCACAGAGAATTCCTTCCTGACCACAGTCTTGAAAATAGCATTTGTGAGTGCCCTGTGTCCCTTTGTATTTGTGTATATCTTCATGTGTCACTGAAACTTAGCTAAACATGCATCCCAATGGAACATAACCTCTAAGAGGGCTTGGTACATATGAGGTGCTCCATAAATACGTTGAACGAATTTAAATAAGAACTCCTTTTTCTATAATTTTCTGACTGATGATCCTGCTGGATTATATTCAAATTAAGCCATATAAAATACATAGCTATAAATTGATTAATATTATTAAATATATGTATTTAAAATTAACAGTGGCCATTAATTATGGATAAGAAAATTGTTCCTTGTAGCACTATTCACAATAGCAAAGACATGAAATAAACCTAAATGCCTATCATCGATAGACTAGATAAAATGTGATACATATACACCATGGAATAATATGCAGTCATAAAAAAGAATGAGATCATATCCGTTGCAGCAACCTGCATGGAGCTGAGCTGGAGGCCATTATCCTAAGCAAACTAACCCAGGAACAGAAAACCAAATACCACATGTTCTCACTTATAAGCAGGGACTAAATATTAAGGACACATGGACACAAAGAAGGGAACAATAGACACTGGGGCCTGCTTGAGAGTGCGGGGTGAGAGGAGGGTGAGGATCATAAAACTAACTACTGGGTACTATACTTGTTACCAGTAGAGGGTTGTGACTGCAAGTTGTTCAGGTTCTTGGCGTTTTGAACAAAGAACTGGACAAAACGCCCAGCAAAGCAAAGAAAGAATGAAACAACAAAAGAATGAAAGCAGAGATTTATTGCAAATGAAAGTACTCCACAGTGTGGGAGTGGGCGGGAGCAGCGGCTCAAGGGCCTGGATACAGAATCTTCTTGGGTCCAAATATTCCCTAGAATTTTCTTGGGTCCAAACGTCCCCTATTCATATTGGCCACTTCGTGCTCACCCCATGTAAATGAAGTAGTGGCCCACAATCAGTCTGACTGGTTGCAGAAAGCAGCCAACCAGAGACTGAAGTAAGTTACAAAGGTTACTCGCCTGTGCAAACATCTGATTGGTTGCAAAAGGCAACCAATCAGAGGCTAGGGTGAAGTTACAAAGTTACACTTCTGTGGAAAGGAAGACTCACCTGCAATCAGTCTGATTGGTTGCGGACAGCCAATTTTCCTATCTGCCGCGCAGAAGAGGTGGGGGTTTGCAAAGGGAGTAGCCTCTTAAAAGTTAAAAATAAAAGAAAATTAGTAGTTGTCTCTGTGTTGATACATTGTGGAGTTAGTCTCCCAGTTTGACTTTCCTCGTTGAGCTGGAGAACATTAGGAGTGTTTTGGTTTTGTTTTTCTTTTGGGCTATAGTTAATGGGAACAAAAAAAAAATCATTAAAAAAACTTTTATACAGCTATCATATTATAAAAATATTAATGTGTTTGCCTCTGATGAAGTAAGCAGCATCTGATAAATGTCCATTGTTTTGAACAGCCGCCTGCTGTTGTTAGCTTCTTGGTGCATTGCACATGTATATGGGCACACACACAGACACTTGCATCTCTCTCCACTGTGTCTAGTAAACATTAATTCATAATGCATTACCAACATTAAGCAGAAACTTTGGATCTCAGAAAGTTGACGATTTTCTCTATACTTTGTTTTCTAAGTAAAACAAATTGTTTAATTAAGTACCTCATTGTTTCCTTTGCTTTACAGATAGAAGTCCTTATAGATTTGAGATTCTTTTCTGAAGCCTTTTATGAGATATCCCAAATTTTCTATGGAAAAAACATGCCTTGTTCAATACCCGCAGGCTATAAAGCTACTGGAAAAACGAAGGTAATCTGACAATTTGATTCAAAGCAATTTCTTTACCTGTGAGGGATACGTTCCTAAAATGTAGGGAACACTCCCACGAAAGTGTATTTACAATCTCTGGTATTTTAGACTTCTTTGTTAAGTCTGGTTACAACTAACATCAGGATTTTATGAGGTTTCATTTGTCTGGGTTGGAAGGGTGTCATGGGGGAGGGAGCATGGTTTTGGAGTAGTTTTTGCAGTCAAATTCTGGCTCAGGGATGCTGCATGTTGCTTTTTATTATAGTTACCATGGGCAGTCTCACTAGGCACATTTATCAGCCACTACTGCTTAGTTTTTTGGGTCTGATATTACAATTTCTGGTTAATATTTTAAATCAAAATAGTCTTTCCTTATGTCTTATTTGGGTCTCTTTGATTTTCATACTTTATACCAAAGTTTTAAGAATGTGTTCAAATTTCTTCTGATTTCTGTGAGGAGAGAACATTCCTCCATATTGTCTAACCTTTTTTGATTTTAGGAGATAGTTTTTATCTGGCTTGTTTAATTTATATTTATAAACTGGATAATTGAAGCACCCTTGAAAATGAATACTGGAGTTGATGTTTAAAGCACAAATTAAATCAGAGGGAGCTATTATTTTCCTCTCTTTTGGTCTTCATGGTGATCTGGGAATCGCTGGGTGATCATGCTTCAGGCAGATGCTTGGACCCTTCTAGGCCAGCAATAAAGGAAATAGGAGAAGGTAGCAAATCAGTTTGCCTGGGAGAGAGTGTATGTGTGAGGAGTGAGACTGATAGGCACAATACCAGCTGATTGGATTCAAATTTGGAGTACCTAAAGCAACCTGGGGAATGAGCTATAAGTCTTGAAAACCACTAGCATAAGCTGACATTATATTTACATATAATATGATAATTACTTCAGAGTATTCTCCTAAAATGTACCTTCTTATTACTCCATATGACTGCTACAGCATTATAACTTATTGTAATAGGGTGTGAGGCTATCCACAGAACATCTCAAGAGGGATGTTTATTAGGCAATTGGATACATGCATGTGCATAGGTATGTATATACATCCGTATATATGCATATATCTGTGTGTGATCAATAGATAGATGGATAGAGAGATACACACAGAGAGGGGACAGAGAGTGAGAATAGTATCAGTTGGTTGATTGTTTTGCTCATTTTCTGCGGCATAAATTAAGCATCATCTTACCTGGAATAAATTAGCAATATTTTCTTGCTTGCTCCTCAGTTAATTACACTTTAATTAGTTAAAAAATATTTTTTGAGTGCTTACTGAATACAGATGCCATTCCAGGCATGGAGATAGAGCAGAAGAAAGACAACAGGGGGGCTCCTGCTTTCCTGGAGCTTACAGTCCAGTGAGGAAGACAAACACCAAATACATTAAGCACATAAGTATATGTCAGGTATATACACAGCTGTCAAGGACAATCAAGCAGAGTTGAGGGGATGGAGAGTGACCAGGGCAGTGAGGTGCTGTTTTATTCAAAGTGGTTTGGAGAATTTCTACAATAAGCAAGTTTTGAGGGAAGTGAGCCATGGAAAGATTTGAGGGAACAACCTTCCACGTAGGAGCAACTGTGAGGGCAAAGATTCTAAAAGGGATGCTTGCAAGAAGTGGTTGAAGAAAACCAAGTAGGCAAAGTGAGGCTACAATGAGGAGGAAGAGGAAGAGGAGGAGGAAGAGGAGGAAGAGGAAGAGGAGGAGGAGGGACCTAGGAGTCAGATCATGTAAGACCTCATAGGGCTTGATAAGGACTGGAATTTTCTCTAAATAAGATGAGAAATAGTGCAGAGTTTTGAGCAGAGAAGCGACATGATAGGAATTAAATATGAAAGGACACTGCTTACTATTGGGGAAGAGGCTGCGGGTGGGCAGGGGTATACATTCGGAGACCAGTTAGGACGCTGTTGCAGATAATCTGGGTGGGGCATGATAGTGATTGAGATGATTGTGGTGAGAGGAGTGAGCAGCAGTCCGGTTCTGGGTGTGTTGTGAAGGTACAGCCAACTGCATTTGCTGATAATGGTTTGGATACAGGATGTAAGAGAAAGGAGGCAAGGATGACTACAGAGTGTTCAACCTGAGCAACTGGTAGGAAGACATTTTCATGTACTGAGATGGGGAATACTGCTCCAGATAGGGGTTGAACATGTTAAGTATGAGTTTCCCAGTAGACATCCAGGTGGAAATGCAGCATAGTTAGGTACAGATCATATAGGGTCTGAAATTCAGGGGAGAGGTTGGGGTTGCAGGGACACATTTGGGAACGCTAGAAGAGAGATTTAAAATCACGGAACTGGATGAAATCAGCTGGGGATGAGGCAGATAGAGAAAAGCAAAAGTCAGAGGACTAGACATTAAGGTCACTCACATTTAGAGTCCAGGAGGATGAGAAGGAGAGAAACCAGTTGGGTAGGATGAGAAACAAGAGAGAGTTTTCAATGGTCACTGCTTTCACTGAAATAAATCAAAAGGTCAGAAACAAATTTTTACAAGTAGATTCCAAACTTCATTTTTATCAACTAGTTTTCATAAGATAAATGTATGGGTGAATCTATCTCCCAATAGATTCTGATTTCAGATTTTGTATTCTCAAAGTTAATTTGCAGCTTTCCAGCTTCAGTTGGGAATTTAAAAAGTGTAATTAAAAGAGGAAATGTGTTCAAGATTTATAATTAAAATAGGTGCCAATGGTATTAAGCTGCGGGCTAGTTATTTAAAGAAGGGATTAATGAATTAAGTTTCACTTGTAAAAGAAGTAACTGAAAAAGTCCTACAGATTACTATTGAACTTTTCACAGGCCTTTAAAAAAATTCTCTATTTTAACATTATATTGGTATTCTACTCTTATCACCAAATCTAAAGTCCCATTATTAAACTCTCTTTAATTTATACCACCAAGGATTTCCCCTTGGATTCAGTTACTCACTTTTCAATGTATTATAGGTAGTGAAGAATATCTTCAAAGAAGGGAAAAAAATTTAAAACACTTACCAATACTTTTTCATTAAAAGCTCTCAGTGATGTATTGTTTTGGGAGGTTCCCTCAAAAGCAGATCCTGAGACTAGGATATGGGAACAATAGTGTCTTTGGGAAGTGATTCAAGGAAGTAAGGTGAGCTAGTAGGAGAGCTAGATAGGGAAGTGGGGAAAACCAATTCAGAGAGCGTGAATGAGAAGGTCACCGATATGGGTAACTGGGGCTCTCAGAGAGACTGGGTAGAACACTTCTGTTGTTCTTGTTTGGCAAGGTTTATTCTCTGCACTTCTAGTCTCTCCTGAACATTCTTATGGCCAGGCAAAGACGTACAGGTACTTGAGTAGGACACCATCTACATGTGAGCAACCTGTCCATGGAAGCTGTTGGTGACTTCCTGGTGACGAAGGGGGTTGAGGAAGGGGCAGAGGGACATCACTGTTGGATTCTACCAATGGGAATCTTTTAAAAAGGGTCTTCTATACCAAGAGAGATACATCCTACTAGATACATCAGTCTCCTGTGGCAAATAAACTAAATGTTTCCTAATGCAACATTGTATTTAGAGCCAAATATAATGACAAATAATACACCAAAAAAGGAAAAAACAACCAAAAATATTTATTCTGAATAACAATACAATTTTGTCTCAAACTGGTAAAGATTTTTTTTAAGTGATAATACTCACTGTTGTTAAAAGTGCAATAATTCTGACATTTTCATACAATGTGGGTGGGAGTGTAAATTGAGCCAGACTCTTTCAATTTCCTCAGTATATTCATATCTTTTGACCTAGAAATTCTGCTTCCAGGAATCTATCCTAAGGCAGTAATCAGAAATATAGACAAAATAGTCATCAGTGTTATTTAAACTAGGGCTGAATGATGGGATAATGATGGGGAAGTGGCTCCCCGAGATGTCCAGCAATAGGAAAGAGATTATTAGGCTGCATTCATAGGATAAAGTATCACCTACTCATTAGGCTGAAGTTTACAAATAATTTAATGATACGTGAAGAAAATTATGATGTAAAAGTTTAGTGAACATGGAATACAAATCTATTTTTAAAAATTTAAAATACATCAAAAAGACATTAGTAGGAAAAACATCAAATATTAACATTGTATTTCTTAAAGGAAGTTGACTCATGTATGATTTTTACTTTATACTATGCTTATTTTTTCTGACTAGAGCATAAATTATTTTTTCAATAAAAATGATAATTAAAATAATTTTAGAATACGTTAAATGTTTTATTTAAAAGAATACTCAATCTTGTTCTTGCTGTTACTACTTGTATTTTGACAGATATTTCAATCATTTGACTCAGGAAAACCTCTTACCAGTAAAGAAAATATACAGGTAAGGATAATAATATTTTATAAACATGGTTTTCCTAAGTGTGGATAATTTTTGAGTCATTCTAATCTATTTGGTTGATACAGTCTTTGATTCTGAAAATCTGCTATGTAATATTCTTTTTTTTGCCCAGTATCTTTCACAAAAAGAGGACTCTACTGCCCATCTAAATACATTTGTTCCTGTCACAAATGGAATGATTGGGACTTAAGAACTTGATGACCTAGTAATATTTGAATATCTTGAAATAATAATTTTTAAAAATCCTAGGAGTATTGGCAGTCTGTCTCTCCTAGGAGGTGTTAGAGCAGGAGAGCTGTGGCACAACCCTTGTTAAAGGGGGCTATGGATGAGGAAGGAGTTCATAGAACCAGGCGACAGTTAATGCAGATAGATACACATGGTTTTTATTTTTTTAAGTGCTAGGAAACAGCGTTAAGTAAGGTATTTATTTTTAATTAAATAATTTTGAGAGATATTTTCTCAAAGTTGCTTTATTTTTGTCTTCCATAATTTTAATAGGAATATATCTAACTTTTATTAAATGTAATCTTATTACTCTTCTATTAATGTGCATTTTATTTCACAAAGTTCACTTTTAATTATCCTTCAGATGATTCATTGTTTTTTATTTTCCTAAAAATTTGTTTTAATTTATAAGCAATTTGCCTGAAATGAAATAACTGGTATTAGGAAGATAGAAATATGTATTCATATTTCATTTTAGTGTTCCAAGACCTTTGGGTATCTAAGAATATTTCTTCCTTTCCCATCTTAAATGCCAGGGCATCCTAAAACACTTCCTTAGGGAGTGGTTTTGGTATAAAAAGAATGTCTGTCTGATGATTTCTTTTTATGCAAAAAGAGACAAACAGTATAATGGAAATTCAGTTTCTATTAGCTAATTAGTTAAAACAGTACTGTTGGTCTGCTTAAGACTCTTCAGATTATACTTTATGTTTTTTTGCATAAAGAAGCGAGTGCTAAATAATATTACTAATTAATCTTCTTTTGATCCTTAAGTGTTTGTGTGTAATTGTCAAGGCTCATTAAATCACTGTTCGCTGTGGAGAGAAAACAGAAGAGAAACCTTCTCCCAACCAATCTGAAGTTTCATGCTTCAAGCTCTTCCAAACAATGGAATTTTTTTGTTTACATAAGGCAAATAGTTTCTCTTTTTTTTCTAGAATAGATAGCCCCAACATCTGCCTTACATATTAATTCAACAAATAAAATCAAGAGCTTATTGTGTGCAAGGCGGTAGGCTGCCAATCAACATTAGTTCTGATGCTGTCAATCAACACTAATCAATCGACAATACAGACAAACTGCAAACTCTCATGGAGCTTGTATTTTAATGGGCAAGACTAGTAATAAAGCATGATATATAAGTAAATATGTTATAAATATGTAAATTATATAGCGCATTAGGAGGAGAACCATGCTATGGGAGAAAATAAATGCAGCTGTGCCTAAAGGGAATTGGGAGCATGGGGCTAGGTTGGAGATGGTAATTTTGAATAGGGTAATCAGGTTAGTCTTCACTGAAGTGGCTTTTGTGAATAGACCTGAAACAGCTAAAGGTGCAAGTCATATGAAATCTGGAGAAGGAACAATCTAAAAAGAGGGAAAGGTAAGTACAAAGGCCCTGAGACAAGATTGCCTAGCTTGGCGAGGGACATCTAAGCCAGTGTGGCTAGAGCTCTGTGAATGATGGGAGCAGTAAGAGATAAGGTCAGACAGGTCAAATTGAGAAGGGGTAGTAGGGCCGTTGTAACCAGGCTGTTATCTGAGCAAAATGAAGAGCCACTGGAGAGTTTTGAGCAGTAGTGTGTCCTGACTGATTTATGCCATAAAGGGATTACTTTTCCTAATCTGTTGTGCCCGCCATGTGCCAGGTACTGTTCTGATGCTGTCAATCAAATACATTGTCAACCATAACACAAATTCCCAAACCTCAAAACGTTTACATTTGTGTGTGTGTGGGGGGGTCTCTCTCTCTCTCTCTCTCTCTCTCTCTCTCTCTCTCTGTGTTGGAGATATTGAGTTTAGAGATGTATTTGAGATATCTGTTAGACATCCAAGTGGAGGAGTTGAGTCAGAAGTTGATTCTGTGAATTTGGAGTTCAGAAGAGAGGTTGGAGCTACAGCAAAAAAGTTGTGATTTCTTCAGTATTCAGATGAGATTAAAACCATGAGCCTGATTAAGATCACCTAAGGGGAGGGAGTGAGGAGAAGGAAGAGTACTGAGTTCCAGGACAGTCCAATATTAAGAGGTATAAGAGAAGAGGGACCAGCAAAGAAGACAGAAAAGGAGAGGCCAGAGGGATAGGAAGGAAACCAAGGGAGTGTGGTGGCCTGAAAGCCAAGAGGAGAAAGCATGTTTGGAAAGAGTGGGTGATCAGTAGTACAAATTTTGATGATGAATCAAATACAATAATACTCTGAATCTTAAACATGAATTTTTCACATTTAATGTCTCTAAAATCAGAATGCGTTTTACAGTTGATGGCATGTGACAGCTTAATCGGCATATAAAATAATGGCATCAGATCAGAAGTAACATGGTATTTGAAGACTGATAATTGAACATTGGATTTAGCCAAGTGTAGGCCATCGGTGAATTTGACCAAAGGGTTAAGATGTAGGGTTGGAGTGGGTTTAGGAGCAAATGAAAGGAGAGAAACTGGAACTCTTCAGAGTGTTGTTGTGAAGGGGAGGAAAGAATGGGGTAGTGGCTGGAGAAGGAAGTTGGGGTATAGAGAGTTTTGGGGTTATTGAAATGGAGGAGATGAAGCATGGCTGTGTGCTGATAGGAATGTTTCTGTAGAGAGTGGCATATTTATGATATAGGAGAGAATGGCTGAGTAGGCCATTGGAGAAAGGAATGATGGCCTAAGTGGTAATGCCAGCCTTAGATAGCAGAAAGGAAGGTAGAGCTGTGGGGGCAGATGCTCAGGTGGGTGAAACAGATGGAGGAGTTTGCTCTACTCTGACTGCTTCAGTTTTCCTAGTGAAGTGGAGGAAGCAAGGCCATTGGCTGGGAGGAAACCAGGGAAGGAAAGGTTAGAATTCAGAGGAGAGAAGAGTGCGAAATGGTTGTCTAAGAAAGAAAGAGAGGGTGAATGGACTGGCAAACTATTGGAATATTACCAGGCAGCATTGAGGTTTGGTTGGGTACTTAAAATGGGATAATTTGTGTGATTGTGTGATTTTTCTCCATCCCTTTTCCACCCCAGGGACGCAGACCCTAAGAGGGCTCAGAGTTGGATTTCAGAGTTGGAGCTGCGATTTTGCTAAGGAAGTGTGTTTGGATAGGCGAGGACCCAGGGGGTTGAGGGTGTATATGAGAAGGGTTCTAATGATTGACGGTGGACTCTAAGCAGGGTAGGGAGATTGCTTGTCTGCCCATCTTTTCTTCTTCCTGTCATAGTATCTCTGATTTACTCACACTAAAGCAGAGTAGCCAGTGTATGTGTCTAATGAGCTTCCAGTTTGTCTGTTTTGATAAAGGATCCCATCCTTCACTCTGAGCACCAGGTTTACTCTGCCATGATGGCAGAACTGGCCTCATGAGGCACAGGTCAGAAATTGGTGGGGAACAGCAGAAGCATTGTTGAACTGTTTAGATGGTTCCGACGTTACATGTCTCTCTCAATAGACCTCCCATTTACAATACCCCGTGCCCAGCCCTATATTCCTTCATCCAACACCAAATGTGGACTGCAAAAGAATGAAGCTAATAATATCTGAAAAAGTATTTTTCTAACTTGCTCTTTTTCCTTTTTTCCATTTTTTTAAGGCAATGGATGAATTAAGAAATAAAGGCTTGCCTGCAGTTCTGGTTACAATTGGCCAACCGCATCTCTTAAATAAGTTTAATTTTGTTAAAGCATACTTTTTCCTAAGTGTGGCTGCGACAATAAATTGTGTCCCAGAAAATAAATTTAAGACGGTAATTACCGACAGGAGCAAACCAAACCTACCAAACTTGAAAGGTAGTTGTTTTATTTTTTGCTTATTTCCCTTTCTCCTCCCTTTCACTAACTATTCTCCTAGCCCCCACTAATCTATATAAATGATATAGTATATATTCTTCCACATCTTTCTCTAAGCTCATATAATGACACACATATGTACTTATGTCTAGGTGTATGCATATACATAACTGTTTATATATATCCATATTCATATACTTTATATATAATACACTATCATATACATATACACATACATGATGGGATTTATCATTTATTTACAAAATGGTATATTCACATTTTTCTGCATTTGGTATTTCCCATGCAGAAAATCTTCGTTGAAATCACTCCAAGTCTACTGCTTTGTTTTGGTCCGTTATATTGACTGTGTAGTATTCTAGGCCATGATCATCCCCCATGTATGTTCCTTGGAAACAAAGTGCATGTGCACCACTAGAGGAGTGATTGAATAAGAAGGAATGTGCCCCTCCACTGGTGCACGTGCACTTCATTTCCAAGGAACATTGCCACTGTGCAACATACCCGGATGACATAGTGTATCTTTCTATGGGATATATAACCCATGGGTGGGATTTTGGGCTATAGAGAAATTTTCAGTTGTATTAGATGTTGCCTTAAAAATAGGTGATTTTTACCATTCAGTTTGATATTAACTGTGGGTTTTTCATAGATATGCTTTATCAGGTTGAGCAATTTCTCTTCTATTCTTAGTTTGTCAAGTGATTTTTATCATGAAAGTGCTGAATTCTATTAAATGCTCTCTCTGCATCTATTGGGATGATTATGTGGTTCTTGCTTTTTATTCTGCTGATATGGTGTGTTACATTAATTGATTTTTGGACGTTTAACCAACCTTACATTCTTGGGATAAGTCCCACTTGATCATGGTTTATAATTTTTTTTTTTTTTTTTTGAGATGGAGTCTCACTCTGTTGTCCAGGCTGGAGCGCAGTGGTGCAAGCTCAGCTCACTGCAACCTCTGCCTCCGGGTTCAAGTGATTCTCCTGCCTCAGCCTCCTAAGTAATTGGGACAATAGGCGCCTGCCACCATGCCCAGCTAATTTTTTGTAGTTTTCGTAGAGATGGGGTTTCGCCATGTTGGCCAGGCTGCTCTCAAACTCCTGATCTCAAGTGATCTGCCTGCCTCTGCCTCCCAAAGTGCTGGGATTACAGGTGTGAGCCACTGCGTGTGGCCTATAAGTTCTTTTCACTTGTTAGATTCTGTTTGCTAGCATTTTGTTAAACATTATTGCATTCATACTCATAAGACGTATTGGTCTTTAGTTTTCTTATAGTGTCTTTGTCTAGTTTTGATATCAGAGTAATTCTGGGGCCTCTATTTCAAAATGTAGGTTTTTCTTATGGTGAGACCAACAGATCAGATGACTGCCATTGAAAAAATAGTTACAGTTTCCAAGAGGAAGGGTGTGCGACACCACTGTGGGAGAAGGGAACATAGGAGAGCTGGGCTGTGTCTCAGGAGGCAGAGGGCAGTGGGAGGGAAACATGAGCAAGAGCCTTTATTGTGGTTGCTATGCAAATGAATGGGTAAGGCAGGGTGAACAGGCTTAGTATTTGAATAATTTTAGTTTGAATAATTTCAGTGAGCCCTGACAGGATAGGGGCTGTCTCTAGATAACTGATAACTGGGCTTGGGGTGATTAGGGGAAGAGTGGCCTAGAGTAAGAGCCTAATAAAGGAGGTGGTGGGGGCACGGGCTCTTTAGTTTGCACATGAAAGGTGTGCTCACAGGTGAGTCTTTTACCATCTCTAGAAGCTGGGAAGTCAGCAAGGCCCCAAAAGTTATCATTTCTGCATCAGACATACAGAATTTTTTTTTTTTTTTTTTTTTTTTTTTTTTTGAGACGGAGTTTTGCTCTTGTCACCCAGGCTGGAGTGCAATGGTGCGATCTAGGCTCACTGCAACCTCCGCCTCCCGAGTTCAAGCAATTCTCCTGCCTCAGTCTCCTGAGTAGCTGGATTTACTGCCCAGTAGGTGCCTGCCACCATGCCTGGATAATTTTTTTGTATTTTTAGTAGAGATGGGTTTTTATCATGTTAGCCAGGCTGGTCTTGAGATATACAGAAAATGTAAAGACGTAATTAATATGGCCTCATAGAATGAGTTGGGAAGTATTCCCTCCTCTTTTATATTTTAGAAGAGTTTGTGAAGAATTGATATTAACTCTTTAAATGTTTGGTAGAATTCAACAGTGAAGACATCTGAGCTTGAACTTATATTTGTGGATAGCATTTTGATTAGCAATTCAATCTCTTTTTGTAGTTCTCTTAAAATTGTCTATTTCTTGACTCAGTTTTGATAGTTTGTGTCTTTCTAGGAATTCATCCATTTCATCTGTGTTATTTAATTTATTGGCATACAATTTTTCATAGTCTTCCTTTATAATTCTTTTTTTGAAATTTGTAAGATTATAGTCATGTTTCCTCTTTCATTTCCAATTCTATTAATTTGAGTCTTTTCTCCTTTTGTCTTTCTCAGTCTAGCTATAGGTTTTTCGATTTTGTTGATTTCTTCTACTTTTTCTTCTATTTTCTATTTTATTATTATGTATTTCAGTCTTTATTATTTTCTTTGTTAACTACCCTTACGAGTTGGGAAAAAACCTTAGAGGGGCTCCTGTGTTATCAGTGTTACTTTACTTAAGCTAGAGACTCTGTCCCACAAGGTGGTGAGGCTGGGTGGAACAAGGGAACCCTGTCTTCTTAGTTGTGCCAGTTTGAAGTGAAGTTTCCATCTCACTGAACAGGCGGGGGGAAGAGAAGTAGTCATCTTTCTCCAAATACCGCAGACTTGTAGTACTGTTCTCACCGCATTTTAGTAAGTGTTTTTGAGTAGATGTTTAATCATTTGCTGTATGGCTTTAGAATCATTTCCAGAGACTTCAAGCATTAAAAAACCAATAATTTTTACTAATTTAATGGTAAAGTGGGTTCATAGAGCTCTTCACATTGGGATGCCAGAAGTTAATCTCCTGAACAATGTGTTTTTGAGATTTATCTATATTTATGTTGGTAGCTGTGATTCCTTTATTTTCATTTTATTTCTTCATGTACTGATGATAGACATTTAGACTGTTTTCTATAAACATTCTTGTACATGTCTCTGAGTGCTTATGAGTAAGAGCTTCTGTATATCTAGGAATGAAATTGATGTGTCATATTTAACTTAAAATTTAAAGTTAATTAGTATCTCTACCCTCTTCATAGATAATTTTGCTCTGATCACCCCTTCCTACTTTAATAATTTGATAGCTTTAGGTTTTAGGTTTTTTTTTTGTTAATTTGATATTTAGACATTATACTATTTTTTTTCCCACTCAATAGTTGTTTAGCTTTACCTACTTATTTGCTGTTTTCTTTGCTCACCATTACTTATTGTGTTTCAGACTTTGGACATCTCTTTTCCCTGAGATGTTATATCCTTTGTAAGTTTAGATAAATAGCTAGTGTGTCATTATCATTTATTTAAAAAATCTATCTTTTCCTCGCTGAAATAAGAAATTCATTATATAATAAATTCTCATATGTACTAGGTTGTGATTCTTTTTTCATTTTACAGTTTTAAAAATTAATATGTAATAGTTGTACACATATGTGGGGTATTTTTTTTATATACACATAAAGTGTGTAATGATCAAATCAGGGTAATTGGGATATCCTTTATCTCAAACACTTGTCATTTCTTTGTGTTGGGAACACTCTGAATCTTCTCTTCTGTTTTGGAATATACTATAAATTCTTGTTAACAGTAGTCACCCTACTGTGCTATCAAACACCAGAATTTATTTCTTCTATTTAATTGCATGTTTGTACCCACTAATGAACTTCTCTTCATCCCTCCTTCCCATCTCCCCTTCCCAGCCTCTAGTAACCACCATTCTCTCTAGCTCCATGAAAACAATTTTTTTCTTAACTCCCACATATGAGTGAGAACAGGCAGTGTTTTTCTTTCTGTGCCTGGCTTATTTCACTTAACATATAAAGAACTCACACAACCCAACAGCAAAATAAACACAAGTAATTCAAATAAAAAGTAGGCAAAAGACCTGGGTAGATATTTATCAAAAGAAGACATATTAGTGGCCAAAAAGCATATGAGAAAATACTTACCATCCCTAATAATCAGGAAAATACAAATCAAAACCACGATGAGATATAATCACACCCCAGTTAAAATAGCTTTTACCAAAAAGACAGAAAATAGCAAATGCTAGTGAGGATGTGGAGAAAGGAAAATGCTCATATACTGTTGGTGGAAATGTAAATTAGTACAACTATTGAAAACAGTATAGTCATTCCTCAAAAAACTGAAAGTAGAACTACTGTATGATCCAGAAATCTTTTCTGTATATCCAAAAGAAAAGAAAATCAGTTTATCAAAGGAATACCTGCATTACCATGTTTATTGCAGCACTATTAACAATAGCCAAGATATGGAATCAACCTAAGTGTCCAGCAATGGATGAATGGATAAAGAAAATATGGTATATATACACAATGGAATATTATTCAGCCATAACAAAGAATGAACTCCAGTCATTTGTAGCAACCCAGATAGAACTGGAGGACATTATGTTAAGTGAAATAGGGTATGATTCTTGATTCTCTATTTCTACTACTGATTTTCCTGGCTTCTTGTGTTAATAAAATAGTTAATTTGATTTTATAACTGAAAACTATTTATTACCTGCTATGTTATTTGAGAATTGAAAAGGTAACAGTGAAAATAAACACAAAAATACTCTCTTAAAACTTGTTATGGTAGAAAAATACAGTAAATTAAATGAATAAAGGCATTGTGGGTTACATGGTAACAAGTGCTTTGGAAAGCAGGAAAGGGGGTTAGGGAGTACAGGAGTGGGGTGTAATTTAAAATAGGGTTGTCAGGAAGAGTCTTAATAAACAGGTGATATTTGAGCACAGGTCTAAAAAAGGAGAGGGAATGAGATGTGAGTTTCTGAGGAATAGTATTCTAGATTAAGGGAACAAATACCGAGACTCTGAGATGGGCATGTGGCTGGCATGCTTGAGGAACAGCTGGAGCCCAGTATGGCTGGAGCAGAGTGAACAAAGGTGAAAGTTCTAGGAGATGCTGTCAGGGAGATAACAGAGTGATTATGAAAGGATTTGAAGGTCATTATAAAATACTTGGCTTTTATTCTGAGCGAGTTGGAATACCACTGGAAAAGTTTTAAGAGGAAGAACTAAAAGTTTCTAAAGCCTAACTCTGGTTTCTGTATTGAGACTAGGTCAGGCTATGGGGTTAGGGGAACCAACAGGGTGAATAATTTGAAGAGCATAATCATATTTCTTTTTAAAAGGCTATTGAATAATTCAATTAGAGCTTATGATGGCTTCAACAAGAGTAGTTGCAGTGGAGGTGGTGAGAAGTAGCCAGATTCTGGATATACCTTGAAGGTGGAGTCAAAAAGATTTGAAAGGGAAGATCAGAAGTTCACTCTGGGGCAGGTTAAGTGTGGGATGCCTTTTAAGTACCTGAATGGAACTAAAGAGTAGATAGTTTGAGATGTGATTCTGGAGCTCAGGAGAGAAGTCCACACTGAAGAAATGTTTCCCAATCATTAGCCTATAGATGGTATTTAAAGGCCTAAGACTGCGCGTCATCTCCATGGAAATGAGTTTAGATGGAGAAGAGACAGGAGAAATGCTTGGTTTCATCAACAAGAGGTCAAATAAATGAAGGAGAATCCACAAAGGAGACTGAGAAAGGATGAGTGAACAAGGTGTTTTGAGGAGGAAGGAGTGATCAATTGAATCAAAAGGCCAAGGAAGATGGAGGTTGGACTTAACAAAAAGAATGTCATTGAAGAATCTAGAAGATGAACTTTGTTGAACTAACCCTTATTGGAGTGGAATCAAACAGAATGTGTGCGGGGGAATCAGAATGAATGGAGATAAATGGGGAAGCTGCTGAAAGGGACAAAAGAAGGTTTTTTTTTTTTTTTTAAACTGAAAAAGTAGCAATCTGTTTTTGTTTTGATAGGAATCATCAAATAGAAAGAGGGAAAATAATGATGATGCAAGGTGTGGAGTGAGGAGATTTCTAACTTGATACCCTTAAGTAGGCAAGATGGGAATGGAACTAGCACTCAAGTGGAGGGTTTGGCCCTACATGGCAACATAAAATTCACCTATAATGACAAGTTGAAGGGCAGAGTGTATAGGTTTACATGCTAGTGGATGGATAGATGTGTTGTAGATATGTTTGCAAGTTATTTGGTAATTTCTTTGGTTTCTTCATTGGAATGGGAAACAAAGACATCAACTGAGTGAGAACCAGGGAGGAAGTGTTGGAGATTTAAGGAGAGAAGAGAAGGGATGAATTAGTTGTCTGAGAGCATAGGAGGGCAGATGGACTAGGGAAATGGAGCAGGACTGCTGGGCAGCTTGCAGAGCCTTTTTGTATTTCTGTATGAATTTAAAGTGAGAAGAGTTAGCATGGTTTTTTTCCCAGCCACATTAAAATTCAGGGCTGCCGATGTCAACAGAGAATTGGATTTGCTGGGGCTTGAGGATTGACCAGGTAGGTGCCATAAAGGAGAGATGGGTAAAGACATTTAAGGTGTTTGCAAGAATGATTATGTTTGATAAACTAAGGAACTAAAGCTGGGTAAGGAGGGATGAGATGGCAGGGGAAAGAGAGGGAAAGGGAACAGTGAAACACTGGTAGTGTCAATGGATTGTGGGTTCTAGAAGGGGTGAAGTATTACTAGATTCATGATTCCTGAAAGAACAATCTGGAAAAAATTAGTACTTTTGTCTGTTAAGGTCATCACTATTCACCCTTCACTTTTTCCTATTTTCCTTATATATTCTTAGGAATATTCTACCTACATACTTCAAGGTAATTCAATCTGATTCTAAACAAGAAAACTACAATAACAAAAGACAAAAGGCTTTTTCATTGGAATTCGTTAAGATGCTTATATTAATTTTAATGTAATTTATGTATTTTTATTGTCTTCCCGTCCAAGAACATATTTTCTCATTTTTTCATATTTTGTGCCCTTTTAATTTTCCCTTCCTGGAGTTCACAATTAGACCCATATTCTCTACTATCATTTGTAGATAACATAGCAGCTAGTTCACTTACCAAGCTACTCCACTCAAATCAAAGACCTGGAAAAACTTCCAGTTTCCCCTTTTCTCCCATGCTTTTCCCTTCAGCAGGTGACATCACCTCACTTCACATCCAACTCCTGATTTTAGTTGATTTTAATTCTAGATTCTTATTCGTTTTCCTTTAGCATGTTCATTCTATTTCAATAACTTTATTTAGTACTACCTTTTTACATATGTAATTACCTGTTTAGAATTAAATATGTAGATTTTCTATCCTTTCCTCAGTATTTCTAGATGTTAATCCTAGTCTTCTGGCTTCCATAAAAGCAGATAAGAGATCTATTTATTTTATTTTAGAAAATTTGATTTTTTGATTGGAGATGTTTCTCTTAATTCTTTTAGATCAGGGATTTGATTGGAAGCACATCTGCCTGATACCTGCCTAAACATTGAAAGAATCTGCATTTTGACAAAGCATTTCATTCCAGAAAGCATTTTCTGGTACTCTGCTTGCACTTCCCTAAGTGTTCTTATTATTTTGGTTTCAATTTGTCATGCCTCCTAGCAGTTCTATTTCCCATTTGAGTTTCCTCTCCTTGCCTACTGAGCCCCTGTAGAAGTCAGGCTAAGCTGGTCTGTTGTAGCAAATCAGTCTTTAAATATCATGGCTTACCACAGCAAGGATTTAGTTCTTGCTCAGATTGACAAGGGGCTGTGTTTTGCAAAGCCACTCAGGTAGCCAAGTGCTACTATCTTGGAGGCGCACCATCTGAAACACTCTGCTCTGACCTTGCCTAGAAAGGCATAGGGTGGCACATGAGCCCTTAAATGGAACTCTGAAATTTAGTCTGGAATTCTGGAATTCTTATTTAATTGGATAAGACCATATTTAAGTGCAAAGAGGGCGGGAAGTATGGCTTGCCAAGTGCTCAGAAAGGAGAGGAGCATGCATTAAGTGAACATGATTAGTCTGAACCTCAGATCCTGGATATGGTGTTATTTTTGCTGGTCATCCCATTGGGGTTCCTGTCATGTTGGCATCAGCTATGCAATGGAGAAGGTGAAGTCAGTGAGATGTAGAGTGGCAGGCAGGTAACCAGCCTCTCCTAAGACATGAGGACTCCTATATCTCTTCGCCTATGGATGGCCTGTCTAGCTCCTCTTTTTATTCTAGAGCAGAACACTCGTGTGGGACCTGTGTTAATTTTATCACACACAGGTTCATCGAAATGTCTAGGTTAAACTCTTCCTAGGGTCTTTTGTATGGTAACATGCATTCCAGGCTTCTTTTGTACCATGTTCAGGCATTTGTTTTCTCTCCATCATTGTCTCTCTCATTCTTACTTTCTCCCTTAGGTGAGAAAGCCCAGTCTCAGATCCTCCTGCTGGGCCTTCCAAGAGCCCTAGCCCTCCCTCATCCTCAGCTGACCCCTAGATTCAGACCCTCATAATTTAGGAGGCTAGCCAGGTAGGGAAGGTTGGTGTTGAAAGAGGAGAGGAAGTTAGGTGTATTAAGTTCCATGTTATTTTAGAATTCTTCTTCGCACTTAACAAACTTAATTTCTTCAGGTGGATATATTTTTCTGTCATTTGTAGTAAAATGATTTGTGGTTCATCTTTCTCTCCCATAATCTAGAAGCCCAGTTGAATGAAGCAGGCAAAGACAGTGATCTGAATTCTCTCACTTCTCCACAGTTCAGAATAAAAGCAGACTTTGGATCGTGGATGAGATTTTGAAAGAGATATTCGAGTATTGTGGATTATGCTGTTCCAACTGGTCTCACGCTCAGCTCTTAGACTGAGGGGCATGTACATATCAGAAGAACTGATGCTTCCACAGAGATCTTATTGAAATGTTAGAGGAGAAACTATATCAGTAGCCAATAGCTTGAATAACATCACTAAATACCTAAAGAATTCTTTCAGAATTGTCTGATTTGTTGTAAGAATCAGCTTCAGCCTTCTAATATATAACATTAGGGACTATTTGATATAGGAATATGCTTCTATATTCCTATGTTTCTATATTATCATTGTGTTTTAAAAAATTATTAAACTTACGGATAGTTTTCCTGTGAATGATGAGTTTTAAAAACTATTAATAGAATTAGGGTGGGTGCAGTGGCTCATGCCTATAATCCCAGCACTTTGGGAGGCCGAGATGGGTGGATCACTTGAGCTCAGGAGTTCAAGACTAGTCTGGCCAACATGGTGAAACCCCATCTCTACAAAAAATACAAAAATTAGCCGGGCATGATGGTGGCCTATAGTCCCAGCTACTAGGGAGGCTGAGATGAGAAGATGGCTTGAGCCCAGGAGGCAAAGGTTGCAGTGAGCTGAGATTGTGACACTGTGCTCCAGCCTGGGTGACAGAGCCAGACCCTGTCTCAAAATAAAATAAACCTAGAATTAATATTTAAACTAACCATAGGTATTCTTGGTCCTTCCAAAATTTTGTGTCTTTATAGAGATATATTCAAAGGATGATGGAAGTTCATTTTATAATCTTACAAAACTTAAAGATGAGACCACTCTTAGCATGCTAAAGGTAAGTTTGAAATTGTTTTCAAACCATAATAAGTTAGTTACCAAAAATGCACTATTAGGCCCTGGATGGGCCTGCTATCAGAGTTATTCTTGCTCTTGTGAGAGCAATTACCTTTTCTTGCATAAGAATGGATTGGAGTCAGAGATGGAGTTTACTCCTCATGAGAAAAGTGGATGTCCAGTTTTGACTTCACAACCTGATTAAAGTGCTTCAGAAAATATGATTTGGCTGGGCATAGTGGCTCACACCTGTAATCTCAGCACTTTGGGAGGCCGAAGTGGGCGGATCACCTGAGGTCATGAGTTCAAGACCAGCCTGACCAACATGGAGAAATCCCGTCTCTACTAAAAATACAAAATTAGCCGGGTGTGGTGGTGCATGCCTGTAATCCCAGCTACTCAGGAGGCTGAGGCAGGAGAATCACTTGAACCCAGGAGGTAGAGGTTGCAGTGAGCCAAGATCGCACCACTGCATTCCACTCTGGGCAACAAGAGCGAAACTCCATTTCAAAAAAACCCCCAAAAAACATGATTCACTATTTGGTGGAATATAAGTATTCAATGCCCTGTTTATCATTTCCCAATAATAGTGATGACAATGGCAACAACAGCTTTTGCATGATTATTTAATTTTTATAACTTAATGATGTAGGTAGTAATCAGTTTTGAACTGTGCTGTGCTGAACCATGAGAAAACTGAGACTTAAACATCTAACAATTTGACTAACATCATACAACTAATAAAATATAGATCCAGGAGGACTGCATCTGTTTGATTCAAAATCCACATCCACGTTCTTAAACATTATGCTAAATTGCCCTAATATTTATGTAATATTCACTGCTCTGCACAAGTACATTTTTAGTGGCCTGTCACTTGAAAGATTGGTTGGTCCCTTTATCTTCTGCCATGTCAGGTTGCTATTTACTATTGATTGTCTACTGTAAAAATCTCAATATCTTCACATTACCAACTAGGTGACCATACTGTAACTTGAAATACAGTTGATCCGCATTATTCACAGATTCTGTGTTTGCTAATTTACGGATCTACTGAAATTTATTTGTAGTCTGAAAATCAATACTTTTGGCCCTTAGTTGGCTATTCGTGAAGACATACAGAGCATAGAAAAATTTGAGCTGCCCAATCACACATTCCCAGCTGAGTCGAACAAGAAGATGCTCTGACTTTTTGTTGCCACTCTCGTACTATAAACAAGTGTCCTTTTCATGGTCTGTTTAGTACCATGCTTTTTGCATTTTTGTCAATATTTACAATGACCCTCCAGCATAGTGCTGAAGTGCTGTGGAGCATTTCTAAGTTAAGAGGGCTGTGATGACCCGGAGAAACTATGTGTGTTAGCTAAGCTTCCTTCAAAAGTGAGTACTATTGGCTGTGAGTTGCAGGTTAGCGAATTAACAGTATATGTTAAATATACTGTTATATATCCTTAGCCACAAACACACATTAAACAAGGCTATGTATTGAGCAGTTAATGAAAATGTTGTGACCAGAGGCTCTCAGGTACTTTTCTCCATATCTCCCCTAGGAGCAATGGCTCAGTGTCCAGTAATCAGTGTTTGCGAGAACTTTATAGAACATAACTACTGTGAATAGTAAGCACCAGCTGTGCATAAAAGAAAAAGTCACTGTCGTTCATGCTGATGCTTGCTTTCACCTTCCTTTTCATTTTCTGTTGCCTTTTTCCTTTTTGCTGAACTCTCTTCTCTGATGATTAGATACAGAGTTCCTTTTTGGTCTTCCGTTCATTGTTATTTTTCAGTACATGAAAAATATTTGCTAAAGAAGGAAGAGACATTATTTGTATTATTTCTGAACTCAGTCATGTATGGTATCCTTTCCTTAGTCGATGTTACTGATGGAAGCTGAGGACAGGTTAAACTTCCTTCTGTCCGAGGTGGAACAGAAGAGCCTGTCTCAGTGCTCCGCTGGCGAGCTGGAGATTGTGGTGGAGGCCAGGCTTCAGCTGGCTGCAGTTGCTCTGCAGAGGCACCGGGCAGCATACAGGTACGTCTCTCCATGCACAGGGGAGGGATACCTTTGAAGAGAGATTCCTCACCCTAGTTTGTTAAATAGACTTAAATTTTATGTAAGTTTTAGAAATTCCTGTATCCATAGTTTGCTTGCTTTTTATTATTCAGGGAAGTTTTCATACATGATTACATTTGAAATTATAGTTCTGGCTGGGTGCAGTGGCTCATGCCTATAATCCCAGCACTTTGGGAGGCTGAGGCGGGCAGATCACTTGAGGCCGGGAGTTGGAGACCAGGCTGGCAAACATGGCGAAACCCCATCTCTACTAAAAATATGAAAATTAACCAGGCTTTGTGGCGGTGCCTGTAATCCCAGCTACTTGGGTGGCTAAGGCAGGAGAATCACTTGAGCCCAGGAGGCAGAGGTTGCAGTGAGCTGAGATCGCCCCATTGCACTCCAGCCTGGGTGACAGAGCGAGAGTCTGTCTCAAAAAAAAAAAAAAAAAAAAAAATTACAGTTCTCAATTAAGCGATTATTTATGAAGGCACACAGCTGGGTTGTTTAATTTCATATATAGAATGAACAAATTCACAAGACAGGGATGCCCTCTCTCACCACTCCTATTCAACATAGTGTTGGAAGTTCTGGCCAGGGCAATCAGGCAAGAGAGAGAAGTAAAGGGTATTTAATTAGGAAAAGAGGAAGTCAAATTGTCCCTGTTTGCAGATGACATGATTGTATATTTAGAAAACCCCATCATCTCAGTCCAAAATCTCCTTAAGCTGATAAGCAACTTCAGCAAAGTCTTAGGATACAAAATCAATGTGCAAAAATCACAAGCATTCTTATA